AATTTCAATGAATGTAAACTTCACCTTCAAAGAAAACCAGAAAATAATTTTGAACTTTAGTTAATGATATGTGCATCAAATATTTATGGGTAAAGTACTCTAAGGTCTATAATTTAAAATGTGGAAAAAAATAAAACATACTGATGAATAGTTAGAGGGAGTACATTATGTGATAAACTGAGCATAGTTAAGTGTTGATGGTAGACTCTAGTTGGTGAATAAACGTATACAGTATGTTGAATATACAGGTCTTAACTGTGAAATTATAATTTCTATGTTTTAAAATTTTTATAATAATATGTCAAAGAAAAACTAAAATGTGGGGTTGGAGAGATGGCCCAGCAGTTAAGAGCACTGGCTGCTCTTACAGAGGACCTGGGTTCAGTTCCCAGCATCCACAAAGTTAGCCTTTAGCTAACCAAGCTTGAGTAAATACACTGTGAAGCAAAGAAGGACCTCAGCTGTCTGACATCTTTCATAACATTTGCTATTAAAGAAAAGGTTAGGGCTTATTATATCAGACTTTAATTGTATCCCTATGTAAGCAGCAGTTTTTAGTACCTTTGTTTTCTTTCTTTCTCTTTCCTTTTTCAATCTCTCTCTCTCTCTCTTTTAAGATAAGAGTCTGATGTATCACAGGCTGGCTTTAAACTCAATATGCAGCTGAAGATGACCTTCAACTCCTGAACCTCCTACCTTTACCTCCCAAGTGCTACAACTACAGGCATGTGCCACTAACCTTATGTGATGCTGGGAAATAAAGGCAGAGTTTTGTGGATGCTAAGGAACCACACTGCCAACTGAACAACAGCTGAGGCCTAGTACCTTTATTTTGGTCTATAAAAATTTTTTAAAAAAAATTTTATGTGTAGGCATGTATTGCCTGCGTGTAGGTAAGTGCACCTGTGTCCTGCAATGCCCGCGGAGGTTGCAGAAGAGACTGTCGGATCCCCTAGAACTGGAGTTACGGACAGTTGTTAGCTGCCATGTGGGTGCTGGGATTCGAGCCCAGGTATTCTGCAAAAACAGTCAGTGTTCTTATCTGCTGAGCCATCTCTCCAGCCCCTCTATAAAATATTTAATGTACATTTTTATCACCATTAAAACATGCCTTCCCCAGGTACTCCTTTATGTTGGACATACCTCAGTCAGTGCACCTGTGTAATCCAACAGAGAAGGCAAGTGCAGGTACAAAATCAGAACAATTGAAAGCCCTGGGTAGACAAGAAGGCACAGGCTATGGACCCAGCTCTGGTGTGATGTAAGAGTCCTTTTGCAAATGCTGACACTAATGTAAAACTAACGTGCTTAGTCTGATCTAAAAAGAATTCATAGTCTCATCGTCTTACAGCTTTATTTTAGGTATCTTTCCATAATTTATAACTTTGAAAAGATTTTTTTAAAATTTGTAGTTGTAGAGGATAAAATTTAGACCTCAATAAACCAATACATGCATATTATTAGGTCATTTCACTTTATGTAATTGATCTAAAAGATTATATCTTTTATTAAAGGGCTTGCTAATTTCTTTCAAGCCATTTAATATAATCAGTTAAGAGGTTTCTATTGATACAGGCAAAAATCTATTGGCTTTTGACTGTAATTCAGCCAACTCCCAATTATTGTGACTATGAGGGAAGAAGTCTTATTCTTCAAAAGCAATGGTAAGATGTACAAATATACAAAGATCCAGAATTTATTAAGAATCATTAAATTATTAAACTCCACTTTCTTATAAGCAAATTCTTCCATAACTTATTTTAACAACAGTAGAAAGTCTGTTAAAAATAGTATTGTGAAGAAATTTTGCTTTTCCAAATAGTGGACATGGTATTCAAACCAGTTCCAATAAGTTCAGAATTATCTTCTAAAATGAGTTAAATTTTCTTTTTCTCCATGTGTCCATCAATATTCATGACACGAATGTGGGAAAAGCAAAGAGCCTAAGACCTGGATGTTCTTTTTAAATAACTGAGAGTTGACTACAATTACTTACAGGCTGTGGGTCAAATCCTATCTGTCCAGTTAGCTCTGCTACCTTCTTCTCATGGTAATCATCCAGTTCAAGGGGGCTCATGGGCCCCAGACCTTAACGGAAAATTGTCTTATTATTTTGGCAAATAAAGAATGGCAATTAAACTATCCTTTATAGGAAAACCTACCCATTCCCTTTATAATATAAACTAGAACCTCCCTCCTACCCACTTAAGAGAAAAATAGCAGACCCATTAATTTGTATTAGTATTTATATTGAGAAACAGTAATGTATTTGAAGAGAAAAGCTTGCAAGCATTTGTTGAGCAGTCCAGTTTTGTTCTCATTTTTACTTGGATCAGCATTAACTCCTACCTGTGAAATCATTAGTGTATGAAGTGATCCAGTGGGACCTCTCAAGATTTCTTTGTATATTGGTTTCTTTTGAGGGGTTCAGAGCATCCCATGAATTCAAGGTCGTGTTAGGAGCAAAGGTTTTAGGAGGCTTGGGGTAGAATATTGGCTTATTTCTCTCAACACATTTAGGAAACTAGAATATGAACAGAAAAGATCATTGCTATTTATTTCATCTATTTGAGTAAGAGGTGTTTGGCTGTCATAGCAGGCAAGGGGCGAAAGACTTCTAGGCTGAAGTCAGCTAAATTTTTTCTTCATTAATTACTAATATTCAAGCCAGGCAAGGTGGTTGAATAATAAGAATTAAACACGGTATTTTATGAAGGAAATGATAGTCTTTTCTAAAAGCCTCTGAGAACTTATGTCAGAGAAACATCCCTAGATACTCTACTTCCAATGAAAACTAATATACCAAGTATTCTGAGGTGTACTTTTAGCTATTTTCAGTCAAAAGAACATGGCTTCTTTTTCTTCTGTACCTGAAATGAAACCATATGAAACCCATCTTTTATGGCTTTCTGATGAAGGTCTAAGCCACCCAAATTCAAATCTAAATTTCATTCTTTATGTATAAATTTGGAATTTTACTTTGTATTTTAAAAAACATTATTTTTATTTTATGTGTATGTTTCGGCTGCCTGTATATAAGTCACCACATGTGTGCAATGCCCACAGAGGCCAGGCGAGGGTATTGGATCTCCTGGAACTTGAATTACAGATAGTTCTTAGCCACTATGTGAGTGCTGGGAATCAAACCCAGGTCCTCTGGAAGAGTAGCCAGTGCTCTTAACAGTCGAGCCATCTCCCCAGCCCCCTATTTTGTATTTTTTAAAGAGGTATGAATGGAAGCGTGACTGGTGGAGTTTCAGTGCAGGTTTAAACATCTGAGTGTCTGGGTGTGCACACTAGTGGCAAGAAAGAAGGATGCACTGGTCACAAGCAACCCTGCCGTCCAGGAGCACACTGACCAGCAGGTAAGGGAGGATGTGTATGCAAATGACTACAAGTGACTGTTTTAAAAGATCTAGAGTCAAAACTACTTGAAGTTCAGAGGGGGAGGAGATTAATTCCAGCTGAGTAGAGGAGTTAGGAGTAGGATGGGAAAGTGGGAAAAGATGAGAGACCATGTTATGCCATGCCACAGCAAATGGGCCTTGAAAGACAACACAGAGATATGAGACCGAAGAACAGCAGATGCAGCAAAAGGTGGAGATGGACAGTATGATTCTACTAATACTAGAACATGATAGCACTTGTTGCTTGCACAGCCAAGCCACCTTTAACACTTGCAGGTCCTGGAACTAATGTACAAATGGAGATCTGTATTCCATTTGTTTACAGTTTAATAGACATCAACAAATTGCTGTCTACCTTGACATGCCTTTTGAACAACCTAGAAAACTAGGTCTAAATTATAAGTTTAATTATTTAAATTACAAGTTTTATAATACTATGAACCCTTGAGGATAGATCTAAAGAAAGGTCTCTAGGACTGGTGTAGAGCAGGAGACAGGGGAGCAAGGGTTTCAGACGGATATAGCTTGTTTAACCTTAAAAGACCCAGCCCCATAGGGAGGAGAATAACAAGAAAGGCAGGGGTAAGCCCTGGAAAGTCCCAGGCCTAAGGGCAATACTGTTGTTAGCATCTTTATAAGGTAAAGTTATCCTCAGTTTATATAAGTAGAGCACTCATGATAAAAGGCACTTATGACTCTGTCTCAAGAAACATTAAATAACCACCCTTATATACTTTTACTAAATCTATGATTTGCTTATTCATGGGTAAAGGATGGGTAAAGGATACCTTTGTTCCCCTTATCTTTTTTGCTATTTGCAGAGCCACTTTCTTTAAAATAAGATGGGCCCTTTCCAAATGCTGTTCTAAAAGGCTGGGCTAATCTCGTGCTCTACAGTGGGTAAACTAACAGCAGTCACCTACTGAAATGTAGTCTAGGGCATCAGAAAGGACAGGAAATGGAAGATTTGGTGTAGCCTACAGTGTTTTGGTGAGAGGTTTGAGAATGGGGAGTCTACTAAAGTGATGTTATTCTGAGGGGCTAAGAGAAGCTGGTGGTATTCACATGACAGGTGCTTGGTGGTGAAGTGCACTATGTCCAGGGTAGAACCTGAACATGACAAAGAAGGTAAGTATAAGGCAGGAAGGACTTCCAGTTCCTGACATGCTCCTTTTTAGGCAGACACTCCAGTTTATAAGAATTATGTGATATTTCCAGCACAGCTCAGGAAACACACATAGCTTAATAACTTGCCTTTCTTTCTTTCTTTCTTTCTTTCTTTCTTTCTTTCTTTCTTTCTTTCTTTCTTTCTTTCTTTCTTTCTTTCTTTCTCTCTCTCTCTCTCTCTCTCTCTCTCTCTCTTTCTTTCTTTCTTTCTTTCTTTCTTTTTAACTCTGTAACATAACAAAATGTACAAGCAAATAGAGAGACAAATTTTCTTCTAAAATGCTTATAAGTAGGCTCTCTCTCTCTGTCTTTTTGAGGTTTTGAGGCAGGGAGTCTCCATGTAGCCCCAGCTGGCCTGGAACCCAGCTGTCCTGGAACTCTGGCCTTGAACTCACAGAGATTCGCCTGCCTCTGCCTCCCAAGTGCTGGGATTAAAGACGTGTGCCACCATGCCTGGCATAACTTGTGTTTCTTTATGTGTGCATCCATACATGTACGGAGGTCAAAGGAGGATGTCAGTGCCTTGCTCTATCACACTCTGTCTTATTGCCTTGATAGGGTCTCTCACTGTACCTGCAGCTAGGCTGGCAGCCAGAATCCAAGCAATCCTCCTGTCTCTGTCCTGCTCCCAGCACTGGGGCTATAGGCTCATGCATGGTCACATCTGGCTTTTTATGGGGGTTCTGGGATTTGAACTTAGGTCCCCTTGCCTGCACAAGTACTCTTACACTTTGAACCATCTCCTCAGCCCCACTGCTCAATAATTTTTAATAAACACTTATCAAGTGTTTATTAAATGCAGAATTATGTGCTAAATTCCAAGGGCCCTGTGCTAGGCACCAAAACTTCATAAATAGCCATTAAAACATCAGAAAATCACAGAGTAGTGATATTGGATCCTATTTCACTTAGTTATATTGTATTACACTAAGAAATTATGACTATGAACTTTGATCATTTATATAAGGAATGAAAAGAAACAGAAAGGGAACAAATAAAGTGGCAGATTTTTCTGGCATCTAGTTAGGACAGTGGAAGGAAGGGCTGAAGGGAGCTATGCGGGGTGGGAAAAGAGTATCACTGAACTCTAGTGAGGGAAATGTGGAGGGTGTCCAGTTTATTCCTTGTCTTGGATACCCTGGATATCACTGGGGCTGAGCAGGTGGGAGGCAGGTACAGGGCAGTGGTAGCCATGGACAGGCACACTGTGGGCATCTAGTTATTTTAGCAGATAACACTTTTTTGAAAGATTCTTATGTGCTCACCAAATTCATTATGGACATTTGAGAATGAGTCTAAATTACAGGTGCTACAGTGGAGAGACAACTGTGCCAGGATGAAGGCTACTGAGGGAGCATTTTAGACCGGAAAGAAGGCAGGTGGTTCAACTCCTTTACATGGTGAAACAAGCTAGCTTTCTTTCAAAGAAAAGCCATGACTTTCCTAATATTTAGGTTTAAGGAAAACAGAGTTGTAATGAACATTGTGTTAGCAAATAACCTTGTTAGGCCTTGAAAACTGTTTAACATTTTCAAATTCAAAGTTAGGGGAGTCTATGGTACTATCCTCTGGGATTATATCTAATTTTACTCAAAAGATGATTACAAAGTAGATTTCATGCTGAAGACTATTTTCATGGCACAAAACATAATACTAGGTGTCCTCCTTCTGTTCTTGAGAAATAAAAAGGGGCAAAAGGTTTCAACTGCTTCAGCAGGTAATGACATAAGTAGCCCAGAAGAATAAAATATTAAAACCTGCTTCCGTTTATCAATTGTGAAGGGAAAAGTAATGCAGGACTGGCTTGGTAATGCCTGGAAATGGTTAGAGAGATCTCAGAGGGAAGAGAGAAGTGGTGAGAGGCCCAGTTAGAGCAACAAGAACGGTGGTCAGTAATGACTCTGGTGGAGAAAACCAAGTCAGATGAAGGAGAGAGCAGGCAGGGATGCTCCGGGTCTGGGTGGTACCTGGAGCTCTGTGAATCCTAAGAAGTACAAGCTTCATACGTAAGTATCTGGGGAGATGAGAAATGATAATGCTTAAAGTATTCTGTGTTTGGGGGCTGGTAAGATGGCTCAGCAGGTAAAAGTCCTTGCTGTGCAAGTCTAATGACTTGAGTTTGATCTCCAGGACTCTCAGTAGAGGGAGAGAATTGACACCTGAAAGATGTCCTCTGACCACCACAAGTGTGTTCACACACATACACCCCATACATACACACACACACACACACACACACACACACACGCATGCACACAATAATAAAAATTAAACAGAGTTAAGTCTTAGTGCTTGTAAGGTTAAACCTTCTCCTTTCCAAGGTCAGCCACTTTTTAATGTTGGTGGGTCAACAGGGCATGCAATCACTGGATTTTCTTGCCAACAGCAGCTGACATTCATGAGCTTACTATATACTGATACCGTGCCAGGGGCTTTTACAGGCATTTGTTCTCAGGACAAACGTAACGAGTAGATTTTATTACCATTATTGCTTTATCTATTAGGAAATTGAGGTATTAAAGGAGTAAGTGTGCTGCCCAGGTCACAGAGCTGTTAAGTTTTAGAGTCAGGAGCTGAGCCACTTAAAATTTCACTCTACTAATACACACACTTTCTTATCTTTTTAGATTGGAAGTGCTAAATACAATTTCTACAGTTTTCTGTTCTGCAGCTGGAGACACAGGTTAGGAACTGCTCATCAGATTATCAGAGTCCTTGCCCTGGGTAAGGCACAGAGTAGGCGAAAGACAACTATCACCCACAAACATGAGTTCCAAGTCCTTGAACATGCATTCCTCTGTCCATCCCACCTCAGACAATGATTTAATGAATGGGGAGAGAAGTCAGGGAACCGGCATTTCTAAAAGTTCCCAGGTGATCTGAATGTGCACTGAAGGTGAGAGGCTGCTCTAGTGAGAGGAAAGGCCACCACTATGAAAAGCCCCCCTCTAACAAAAACAGAGCACTGCAGAACAAAATGAAGACCTTTCGACGACCTCCTCTAAGCAGGGAGCGAAAGGAGTGAAAACAGAAGAGGAAGCTCAGGGCTATTCTAGAGCTTGTGAGAAATAACATGAGCCGCAAGGCATCCCCACCTAGCCCAGTGTCAATTTTACTTGTCAAGTGAAAAACTTGATTAGGGTTAGGGATGAACCTGAAGAATGACTGACAAATTGAAAATTAAGACTAGTTGGAACAAATTACAGAAGTTCAATTAAGCACTAGAGAGATGAAAAAAAAAAAATCAGTGGTTGCACACCTTTTATCCCAGTGCACCGGAAGCAGAGGCAAGTAGAGCTCTGTGAGTACTAGGCACCTGGTCTACATAGCAAGTTCAAGGCCAGTTAGGGTTACATAGTGAGACCCTGATTCAAAAAAAACAAAAGGAATCAGATCAGTGAAAAATATTTATATAAAGCACTATGAGGGTCTGGGAATGTAGTTGGGTTGGTGGAGTGCTTTCTTAGCACAGCATAAAACAGGAGTGGCGGCACAGGCTTGTAATCCCAGCACTTGGGAAGTGGAAGCAGGAGGATCAAAGTTCAAGGTCATTACTGGGTACATAGCAAGAACAATGCCAAGCCTGGGCTAAATGAGACCCTGTCACAAACAAACACCTAACATCATCAACAACAATAAAAACCTAAACATTGTGTAGACATAAAATATTTCGTTCTTGCTGAACTTGATGGTGCACGCCTTTAATTCCAGCACTCAGGAGACAGAGGCAGGTGGAGCTCTGTGAGCTCAAGGCCAGCCTGGTCTACACAGTAAGTTCCAGGCCAGCTAGGGCTACAGGGAAACCTTATCTCAAACACACACACACAAACAAAAACAAAAAAACAAAAACAAAAACAAAAAAACCCCAACAAACTAAACTCAGGATGGAAAATTACTGGTTATATAGTGTGGTAGGGTTGGCAGAGGAAAAAGTCATTTCTGCTGGACTAATACTTTCTTTTTGTCTTTTTGAGACAGGGTCTCCCTGTAGCCCCAGCTGGCCCAGAACTCACTTTGTAGACCAGGCTGGCCTGAACTCACAGAGATCTGCCTGCCTTTGCCTCCTGAGTGCTAGGATTAATGGCACGTGCCACCATACCCAGCTACAATAATGTCTTTTTAAAAATTATTTTTTATTATTATTTTTATGTGTATGAGTGTTTTGCCTACATGGATGTAAGTGTACCACGTGCATGCAATCCCTGTGGAGGCCAGAAGAAGGCATCAGATTCCCTGGAACTGGAGTTCAGGAAGGTTGTGAGTTGCCATGTGGGTACAAGGAACTGAACCCAGGTCCTCTGTAAGAGTAGCCAGTACTTTTAACTGATAGGCCATCTCTCCAGACCCAATAATGTCTTATATAGTATTTTCCAGCTTTTATATATGATTTTCAAAGCCTATAAAGGTTGTAGGACAGCTTTAATGAAATTATACACATAAATTTTATTATTTACTAATTAATCAAAAAGAAACAATATGCCTTCTCCTGTATTACTGAGTCAGTAAATGGCAACAAAGGACAAGCACTACCTAAAACATAGGTCTCCTGATATAGATCACTTTCTTTTTTTTTTTGTCTTTTTGAGACAGGGTCTCCCTGTAGCCCCAGCTGGCCTAGAACTCATTATGTAGACCAGGTTGGCCTTGAACTTACAGATATCCACCTGTCTCTGCCTCCCAAGTGCTGGGATTAAAGGTGGCTTGGCCAACATGGATCACTTTCAACTATGTAATAATAGAGACAAGGAGTTGAGCTGAACCCTGGCAAGAGAGCAAGGTTCAGATAGGTAGAAAGGGCCTGGAAGAGGGTTGGAATTACTTTATATATCATGAATCATTCTAGGAATGGAAAATGGCATAAATGTGCTCAGGGCAGGCAGAGAGGTCAGATGCAGGGGAGGAATTAAGGCTAGATCCTGAAGGGCCTTCGTAACTCACTGTATCATTAGGGTTCAAGGTGGCTGCAAAGAGCAATGATGAAAGCAGCATTTCAATGAGTAGGAAAACACCACATGGTAGAGGTTTTGACTTAAGAACAGGAAATAACGGGGTGAGTGAGAATGTCCCCCACAGGCACAAGTATCTGAACACTTTGTCCCCAGTTGGTGATGTTGTTTTGGGAGATTTAGAAGGTGTGGCCTTGCTGGAGAAAGCACATCACTGGGGGTGGGCTTTAGCCTGGTCCACTTCTGGGCCACCCTTTCCACCTCCTGTGCCTGCTTAAAGATGTGACTCTCAGCTTTCGGCACCAGCTCCTCCTGCCATGCCTCCCGGCAATGATGGACTCTCATCCCTCTCAAACCTTAAGCCAAATAAACTCTTCCTTCTATAATTTGTCTTGGTCATAGTGTTTTATCACAGAAGTAATACAGGTAGCCTCTAGAATAACCTCTCATATTTCTGTTACTTAGGTAATAGACTTTGCTTGAAAGAAACAAAGAAATCCAATTAGGGAAATGATTATATAAAGAGTTCTTTTTGACATACTTTGAAAAACAAACAGGAAGTTGTTTACTTTATTCATGACTGTGTGTCACTGCAGTGATCACATGTGGCCTGGTACAGTAGTTTTCCAAGTGAAACCCAGATGTTTCCAGCCTTCCATAATTAACTAGCTCACCATTCTTGGGGACAAGTACCTACTATATGGAAGCACGCAGCACTGCCTCTTAAAACCACTTGGTCAATAAATGGTTGCTATTGTCAGTTTTGAATGCCTAGATATTTTCTTTCATGATTGAAAATTTACCATTATATCCATGTGGAGTTATAGTGCAGAGGTAAAGAGGAGAGACAAGTCTCAGCAATCTAAGCTCTGTGATCACTGCATGATCACAAACTTTGAGCCTCAGTATCCTTATCTATAAAGTGGGATTGGTGGTATGCATGCGATTACTGTAAGTTAAATGATGGATCTGAAGTGGCTACTGTGCAGCAACTTAACATTCCACCTCAATTTGTGTTAGACTTTGATACAAGTGCACTAATAATGATTGGAATAAAAACAGCTTACAAATCTTTCTGAGATCTGCCATTTCTTCTACGAATTGTTGGAATTACTTGATATATGAATCATAAGGATAGTTCAGGAGTATGTGAAGCAGTCCTTCCCCACCATCATTAGGGAGGGGGGCTGTTTTTGCCTTATAACTTTGGAAATGTCCCATAACTATTAAAAGTATATGAATTCAAGTAACAAAACTAAAAAATGTGAACCAATTGTGTGTGTGTATGTGTGGGTGTCTGTGTGTGTAGGCCAGGGGTTGATGCTGGGTGTCTTCCTCTATGATTCTCCATGTTATAATTTTGAGACAGGATCTTTCACTGGACTCGGAGTGCAATGATTAGCTAGACTGGCCAGCCGGGTAAGCCCCCTGGGATCATCCTGTCTGCCTTCCAACACTAGGATCCCATCTTCTTGTGTGGGTGCTGGGGATCTGAACTTAGGTCCTCATGCTTGCATACCAAGTACTTTGCCCACAGAAACATCTCCCCAACCCCCAGCTTGTGTTACTTTTATAACTGTATTGAGTAAAACTATATTATACATTCTCTTAAACATATTTTGTAAGATACTTACATCATAATATACACCTTGACCTGGCCAAGTCAATGCTTTCTTCTTTGAATCCATGGGAAAATCAAGCAGTTCATATCTGTAAGGATTACCTGAAAAATTCAGAAAAAGCAGTTATCATCTCTTAACTGATTGGATTTATGGATGCAATATGTAGAAATAAACTGATGTAGACCTGTCTTCTGTTTCCACCATGGAAGGCTGAAGACAGGTCAAGAAGGTCCACAAAGTGTCTGACTTAACTGGTCTGTGGTAAGGCCTCAGCTAACTACAGGACAGTTGAGGACAATTTTCCTAACCTACCCTGGGTCACTCATTCAAGCTTTAAGTCCTTTGCTCACCTTGCCTTTTTGGATTTTCTTACTGAATAAGCTCCAATGATTAGAAGTGACAAGTTTTGATTTCAAGTCACATTTACCTCTTGTCTTTAAAATTGTTGTATCATAGGCTTTGGTTGGTACCGTAGGAGGAAAAGGCTGCTGGGTATGGGCTTTAATGCCAGTGTAGAGGTCCTTAGGCGATGTGAAGGTCGGGAACATGGCACCGCGGCATGTGTGTGTATGGTAGGGATGCTCAATTGGATATGACGAGCAGATTTCTCTAAGATATATCAAGCAAATAAAAGGAGAGAAGTACAATGAAAAAATGATCAAATGTTTACTGGGCCCCTCTGCTGTGGTGGGTATTTTTCTAATCCCTGTGGAGATGGCCAGACCAAGTTCCTAGACTCATGGAGTCAGCATTCTACAGGATCTACCATAAAACATGAAATTTTCTTAAATTTTCCAGATAAATAAAAATAATGATACTGAGTGAATAGCTTTTATAAATGGTTAATAAAAGCAGAAAATACATCTTGGATTGGACTTTCAACCCAGGCTATCTGTTTCTTTGAGCAATAAACAAAACATACCCGTTGTATATAGAGACTATTTTGAAGTTAAAAAAATTAAGTTATATCATTGAAGTAAAAAAAAAAGTTAAAAAGGCCACACAGATATATTTTTCCTAGCACCTAGATAGAGAACTGTCACATATTAAGGGAGAAAATGTAGGTGCTAGCTGTGCAAAATAGAAGAAAATTGAGATTGGAAGGTTCACAGGACAGAGAAATGACAATTATAATCAGAAAATTAAGAAAACAACAAGACCAGTGTTATAGGTTGTGTTTCTCCAAATATCCACGTGTTGAAATCCTAACCCCAAAGGCCTTATATTGTAACTTAATTTGGAAATAGGGGCGTTATACATGTAATAGGCAAGAGGGGTCATACTGAAGTAGGATGGACCCCTAATTCAGTGACTGGCGTCCTTATTTAAAGTTAAACCTGAACACAGGTAAGCACACACTGAGAATGCCTTGTGAGGAAAACAGAAGGGAGGGCACACCAACAAAGCAAAAGTGCCGGAGACTGCCTATGAGCACCAGGGCCAGGACGATCCCACAGCCCTCAGAAGGAGCAAATTCTGTCTAGACCTTGATGCTGCACTTCTATCTCTCCATTAGAAGCCTAGACCCTAAGAAGAAAGGTGAATCCAATAAATGCAACCCAGCAAAAGAGTTTTTGTATTCTTTATGAAGAAAGAAATTTTAAAATCTCGAATTCTGGGGCTGGAGAGATGGCTCAACGGTTAAGAGCACTGACTGCTCTTGCAAAGGACCCAGGTTTGATTCTTACACCCACATGGTAGCTAACAACTGTCCATAACTACAGTTCCAGGGGATCCAACACCCTCTTCTGACCTCTAAGGGCACATCATGAGTGCACCTATATGTAAGCAATACACTCATACACATAAAATAAAAATAATAAAATATTAAAAAAGCAAAAACTAAAACCAAGTTATTTACAGTATATGTATATATATACATATATACATACATATAAAATACAATACCTCTCTTCCCAATTGTAGACCTGGATTTTGATAGCTTTTAGGGTAGCTCTTTACTTTAACTGAGACACAATTTTAATATGTTTGCTGAACATTTCCAGGTGGGATTGAACGAGGAACTTCAGTAGCCCAAGAGCATCCAGTGCTCAGATTTGATTTCTTATGTCAGTTTCTAATGAAAGGAACTGATATTTCTTGAGGTTATGGCTGGTTCTGGAGGGGACAGGGAATATACAAGGTGATCCAGAAGTATCTTGTAGTGCCAGAAAGGGAATGATAGAAGAGAAAAATCCTCCCAAACCCCACTATGATTGGGGGAACTGTCAAAAGAATATAGGAGCAGGCTCAAAGAGCATCCTACGGCCAATGTAAGAAACAAAAGGAAGGGGCATGGGCTACTCCTGAGTTCTCCAACCCAAAATAAATACCGAGTCCATAATGAAGTAAGTCATACCAAAAATCTATGCAAAAGAGTAAGTAAATCTCCCATGCAGAATGCCAGATAATTTTTGTTTTAAGACAGTCTCATGTAGCTCAGGCTGGCTTCAAACTTGATATACAGATGAAAATGACCTTAAACTCCTGACCCCCTGCCTCCATCTCCAGAGTGTAAGATTATAGGCTTAAGCCACCACACTCAGTTTATACTGTGCTGGGGATTGAACCCAGTCAGGGCCCTGTACATGCCAGCTAACCCAGGGCCTTGTACATGCCATGTATGCATGCCACCAGCTGAGCCACATTCCCCAGCCCCAAATAATTTAAGGGCATGCTTTGATCCTGGAAAGTGGTGCTTAACTCCAGAAGCCTTCTGTTTACAGCGACTTTCTTCTTCAAAGTACACTGTAAAAGCCAGGCATGGTGATGCATGCCTTTAATTCCAGCACTTGGGAGACAGAAGCAGGCAGATCTCTGTGAGCTCAAAGTTCATCTGGTCAACATAGCAAGTTCCAGTCAGCCAGCACTACACAGTGAAACCCTGTCTCTAAATAAATAAATGAAAAATAGAAGGCAACAAACAGACTACCCCAGTCTAATCATAAGAAAAAACATCAGCCAAAACTTCATTTGGGGGCATTCTACAAATATTCTGCCTATAATCCTTAAAACTGTCAAGGTCATCAAAACAAGGAAAGCCTGAGGAAGTGTCTCGCTTGAGGTGCCTGAAGAGGTCAACTAAATGCAATATGGTATTCCAGGTGGGGTCCTGAACAGAAGGATAGCAGGTAAAACTGAGAAAGTCTGAAGTGTGGACTTTAGTTACCTATAACCATCATGACAAGTGTACTACATTAATAAAGATGCTAATAGTAGGGAAAACAGATATAAGGCACATGGGAAATCTCTGTATTAACTTTCCAATATGTCTATAAACCTACAAATACGCTAAAATAAAAAGGTTTATGTAAGAAAACTGACAGTGGATATAACTGAAGAGAAATACAAATCATGTTATTTTGGACTTGCACCAGCCTCTCCTCCAACTGTTGAAATATAGCGTTCGGAAAGTGTCGCGAGCCGGGACTCTGTCCAGCAGAGTCCAGGAAAGACGACACAGACACCAAGGCGAGGTTCAAGCTTCTGTTTCTCTTTCTTCCTTTATTCTCTCTTAGCCTCTCTCATATACTCTTATCTATGATGCTGTCTCCCTCACTATTACACACTTCAGCTCTTTATATAGCGTTTCCAACAGCCTTCCCCCCACCCGGTACCAATCAGGGCTCACACACGGGCAGCGGCCAGGCGGAGTGTAGCTCGTTAGCCACGTAGCAAGATCAACATGCTGGCAGCACCTGTTTTGGCTTAATACTTTGGATAAACAAGCGGGAATCACGAGCCTTGGCAATCAGCCAAGAGTTGGAGTAAACAGCACAAGGTTTGGCAGCCAGCCAGGGCGCTATCTGGCTGGCTCAGCTGTGCTCGCTTCCCACAGGAAAGGCCTCACTTGTCCTCATATCCAGCTAAGTCATAGGGAATGCCAGTCTTTTTTATTATAATGGGGAGGAAAATATAAATTGTATACTTACCCTACTGCTGAATTAGGTGGTTTGGGCAACCTAGAATAAAAACAGGAAACAAGTCCTAATTAAGTTAGGGCTTTAAAGGCTTAAATTCCAATTAGAAACTTGCTTAAGAATAAGGATGTTTTTCATCTTTAAACTACATGGTATTTAGGGTTTTTTGTTTGTTTATTTTTGGTCTTTTTGAGATAGGGTCTCCCTGTAGTCCCACCTGTCCTGGAACTCACTGTAGACCAGGCTGGCCTTGATCTTACAGAGAGCTGCCTGCCTCTGCCTTCAAGTGCTGGTTAGATTAAAGGCATATGCCACCACGCCGGGCCCGACCCCCTTTTGCATTTCTTATTTGCTGGAAGGTTCCTGGGCTGAGAGGCCTGTTCTTACTGACCTTCTCTGTCATAATCAGGCAGGAGTCAGACTGCCCCAAGGGAGCCTAACATCACGTGTGGTGCAATTGTATGACCTAAAGTGACCTGAGTGGCCTGGCCAGAGAGGACGTGTAAGTACTGGGTGTGTCATTGTCCCTTTGCCCATGGTTGCTGATCCCTCATGATAGTAAATGTTTCACAATCACTGGAGAATAGAGAACGAAACTGACTAAGTTCCCGGAGGTATGGATTTCTGAAGCAGTTAATTCTGAGGTTGTATACTTATTGAATCCTCATGCCAAGGAATAATACTGTATGTAGCCTTGGAAACAAGCCCAGTGCAGAAGACAGTTACCCAAGGACATGTGATTCAGCAACTAGTTTCAGCCTCTGCAAATAAGACTGAAAGATTTTCAAGCATGGAAAATAATCAGAATGTTACCAGTTTCATAATTATTTAGTAAACCTGAATACACTGTTAATTTTTAAAAAGATATTCTCCATGCTGGAGGCCATTCACTAGAAAGCAGTAAGTTATATAATTTTATTACTCTACGATGTTTTATTAACACATAATTCACAGGAACCATAAAAGTTCACGTCTTTATTTGGACTCTGTGGGTGTGGAACAAAGAAAATATCACTTCCTGTCGTCTAGCTATGTTGCTAGGTTGAAAAATTGGGGGTGTGGGGAGGAAGTGATGAATATGAATCTGAGGGGTGTGGTGGTACTAGACTGGTATATGTTAATGAAACATGAGTTGGCATCTGAAATTCTTGTGTGACATGTCTTCTTGTGCTGTAATACTGATAAACATGACTAAATTGATTTGATTCAAAATAAAAAAATTAGACAAAAGAAAATTTTTTTAAATTTAAAAATTTAAAAAGATAAAATAAAACTAACAGATGCTCAGCAACAGCACTTCCTTGACCTTAATCCCTTCATTCATTCTGCCCTGTCCATAGCCAAGATAATGAAAGCCTCAAATACAAAGCCTTGGCAAACACAAATTCTGGCTCCCTCTAGTGGTTCAATTCTATAGTGCATTAGCTTCTTGAACTAGAAACATAACCAAAGAATCTTAATAAAGGTTCAGTGTTTCTTCAGAATTATTGCTGGTGTTTTTCAATGGATTTATTCATTGCATAGTCTGGATTTCATAAGGATAGTGTTTTGTTTTATTTGAAATAAAACATGCTTTTCTGTGTACATAGCATACCATTTCAAAAATATAATATCCTGGAAGATAATACCTTTAAGCAAGGTAAGTTAACAAATATTCCTCATCTGAAAAAGAGACTTAAATGGGGCTGGAGAGATGGCTCAATGGCTAAGAACACTGGTTGTTCTTATAGAAGATCTGGGTTCAAATCCCAGCACCCACATGGCAGCTAACAACTGTCTGTAACTCCAGCCCCAGGGGAATCCGACAGCCTCTTCTGACCTCTGTGGGCATTGCATGACATGGGTGCGCTTACCTACAGGCAATTCACGCATACACATAAAATAAAAATAATAAATAAATAAATTTAAAAAAAGACGGAGAAAAATTGTATTGAGTAGTATTTGTAGGTAAGTATAACAAACCTTTTTCTGAATAAAATTCCAATTAAAATTTTGTTGAGGGTTGTTGGCATTTTCAGTGACTCTTAAAAAAATATCTGTCAGGGCTCTTATCAGATGAGTAGGAGAAAGGCAGGGAAGTGATTCAGGATGACCTGTAACAGGTCTCATTATTTCTTGGTTTTCAGCAACTGATTTAAATACTAAAACCAATCTGTTTTGGCCCATTTGCTTCCTTTTGTTTGGTCTTGCTCCCTGGTATGATCTTTACTAAGATGGAAGAACTGGTTTCTACAAGAGGGCTTTTAAATTTCTTTAACTTTTACTTCCCATACAATTCATTTCCACTTAAAATACCATGTAATCTCATATAAAAGGTTGTGTGTGTCCCCGTCCCCCCCTCCACCTACAAAGAATCATTCCCGTAGACATCACTTTTCTTGTTCTGTGTCAAATAGTAGAACTGTTCAATAGGAAGCTTTCTGAAAAGACAGGATAAAATTGCACATCTCTTAAAGATAGCACAGTGAGGAGATAGTAAGAGACAGACAGATGATTTGGTTTTTATCCAAGCTTTATCTATTTTGAGGTCTATGCTAATCTGATCAGAGGAACTTAAAGGACAGCTTTTGCTCCTTGCCCTCCAAGGTCCACTAAATTCCAGGGGACTATGGAGCATCTCTCAAAATGTCCTGTAAATATGGTGAGTCACCTGTCCTCTTGTTCAGGGAGGCTATGTAGACCCCATGAGATTGACTTGAACCAGTGTCCAGTCTACAAAGAGGAGGGCCAACACAGAGGAAATATTTCTTCTATGCTTCCAAGAGAAGCCAGCCACAGTCGAGCAGGACCTTTGACTTATCTTCACACAGATGGATCTGATGATAAAAGGAGCCAGGGGCTCCTCCCAAGCCCATGTGACCTCTGAGGAACAGATCCTCAAACAACCTTAAGAGTAAAAATAAATTGGTTTATTTGGGCCAACTGTATGGTCTTAAACACACAAAAGGAAAGTATAACCAGAGATTAATGTGATCAGTATATTTCTTTAAGAATTCAAGGGATTACAACTTCCCGGACATTAGGCTTAAGTCCATATAAAATGTTCTTTAGACAATTATTTGTCACTGATAATTTTGTTTCTAATCAGAAAGTACTGCTCAGATGTAAGACTTCAAATCCTGGTCTGCAATACTGTAGTGCCCACCTGTAGCTAAGGGAGACAACCCACTATTGTTCTAAAATGATGGATAAATTTGTTTTCTCCCCCTATCCAGAAGCCTTTGCTAGGGAAATGACACTGATTCTAGCCACTCTAACAGCTATCAAAGTGCCCGAAAACAAATCCTGAGTCTATCACTCTCGAGTCCAGCCTTGGCAGACAAAAGAAAAATGAGGAGGAACCCAACAGTGGGATGCTTTTGGAAGCTCTCGTCAAGAAATTCCAATGGATTCTGATATGAACATCTGAAATTTTCCCTATTCTGACCTTTTTCTGGTTTCCTGTCTAGAACTTGTAATGCTAACTACTGTTGCCTTTACTTCTCCTTCACATCTCTAGGCGCCAGTCAAGGGCTTTCTTTTCTACCTACAGTTAAGAGTTATGCAATTTGGGAGTCTTTTAGATAGACCCACTGAAGGGGTACCCCAATTGCCTCACCCTGCATCCCTGTTCAGCATGGAAGAAGCCAGAGTGGTTTGCATCCCAATTCCACATCGGCAATTTGGTTAACCTTTTCAGAGGATGGTATGATAAGAACAGGAGGTAGGAATTGGCTAGGCAGTTAGTTAGGGTAAAAAAGACCCCAAAGAAAAGCAGCCAGTTTCTTGGCTAGAAGTCACAATGTCCTTGGGCCTCTTAGCAACATACTCTGTTCCAAAGGCTAAAAATGTCAAAGGTATTTGGGAGCTCTTATATAATCCTTAAAAGATTTTAGGGTTACCTCTTCAGAGTGGGGAATGTTAGAGTAGCCAAAAGCCCATAAAGAAAAGAATAAAGAAAAGTAAAGAAAAGAAAAGGAAAGAAAAGAGAAAAGAAAGAGTATACAATGTTGTCAGGAAAAAGTGATGAGGAGATATGGGAGGAGTTGGAGGGGAGGAAGTGGGCGTGGATTTGATCAAAACACCTTATATGCATGTATGATATTCTCAATAATTTTTTTAAGTTAAAAAAAAGACAGATGAATGCAACCATGTGTAGAGATTCTAAATGGAATACATAGAAGGTAATATGTAAATGTAGTTGACAAATATGTATTTGGCAATAAAAATAGATAATTTTGATGCTGGGTATGGTGGCACATGCTTCTAATCCCATCACTCGGGAAGCAGAGGCAGGTGGATCAAGGCCAGCCTGGTCTATATAGTGAGTTCCAGGCCAGCTGGGGTAACAGAGAAATGCCTCAAAAAAAAGTAAATAGTTAAAAAAGATAATTTCAATTAGACTCAAAACTAAAGAGGATAGGAGTGGTAGTGCATGCCTGTAATCCCAGCAATTAGGAGACTGAGGCAGTATGTTCAAAATCAGCCTGGGCTACATGAACAAACTCTGTCTTAGGAAGAGAGGGCTGGAGAGATGGCTCAGTAGTTAAGAACACTGGCTATTTTTGCAGAAGACCCGGGTTGAAATCCCAGCATCCACATGGCAGCTAACAACTGTCTGTAACTCGAGTTCCAGGGGATTCCACAGCCTCTTCTGTCCTCCTCAGGCACTGCATAATATGGGTGCACTTATCTACAGGCAGGCAATACACACATACACATAAAATAAAAGTAATCAATAAAATATAAAAAAGAGAAAAGGAAAGAACAGAAAAGAGTGGGAAGCTTAGAGAGATGGCTCAGTAGTAAGGGCATGTGCTGTTCTTGCAGAGAACCTGAGTTCAATTCCCAACACACACGTCAGGGAGCTGTAACTCTAGCTTCAGTGGGAGCCAATGCCAATGGGAGCCAATGTGTTTAGTCTCTCAGCACCAGTGCTCATTTGGACACCCTGCTCCCCACCCCAATAATTAAAAAATGATAAAAATAAATCTTTAAAAAAGAAAATACTCCCCCTTCCAAAACAACAACAAACCATTCAAGGAGGCAAACCTATACGAATATTTCAATATATATTCTTCCTTTGGTAAATAAGATTTTTCTTTCCTATGTTTTGGAGTGTGCATGTATGTGGTGTGTGTGTGTGTGTGTGTGTGTGTGTGTGTGTGTTGTGTTTGTGTATGTGCATGTGTGTTGGAGCAAAACAGGCAGAGATAAACTGCTCAGCCTATGGAAGAGGCCGTCTTTCTCAAGAGACTTGAACAAGACTTTACTCAAGTTGACCCGAAATGTCTCAGCAAAGCCTTATCTAAACCTACTTCTGTTAAGTGTAAAAAGTGTGTGTGTATGTGGTGTGTGTGTGTGTGTGTGTGTGTGTGTGTGTGTGTGTGTGTGTGTGTTTCTGTATATGGGTATGCATGTACCACAGCACACATGTGGTGGTCAGAGGACAACTTCAGTGTTAGTTATTAGTCCTCCCTTCCCTGTCTGAGACAGGGTCTCTCGTTCATGTTGTGAACACCAGGCTAGCTGGCCTACAAGCTCCCAGGGACTCTCCTGTCTCTGCCTCCCATCTCACCATAGGAGCACTAGGATCAAAGCATTTAGCTTTATGGGGGTGTGGAGATTTGAATTCAGGTCCTCAGACTTGCATGTCAAGTGCTTTAACCACTGAGCCATCTCCTTAGCCTAGCAAGCAAAAAAGAAATTTGATAAGACAAAGGCCACTATGAAAAGCTCTGACAAGACAAAACTGGAGGAAGTACAGATTACATGTAAAATACTGTTATTCAGACCATAGAGAACCAACAGTGCTCTATAAATAAAATGAAAATAAAACAGGCCAATATTAAGAGCTATAAAAGAAATATAAATGATCACACATAAAATGAAAATAAGAAATTATCCAACTAACTAGTAATCAGAGAAATGTATTTTCAGAGCCGTAATACCCTAGGACGGCCTCAGGATGGACAGAGACTGTACAGTTTAAAAATACAGGTGGCTGAGGGGCATGGAGATGAATTATTTTAGACACTGTCACAAGAATATAAATCATTTGGGCCACATCTACCAAGTTAAAGATACTCATACGGAATCACCCAGAATTTCCACTTAGGATTTGTTCTAGAGGAACACGTGTCTGAGCTGATGAAGCTCTATACATGGCAGCTCATTACAGTACAGGTAATATAAATAGTATGTGAGGGGTTAATCTATGATCAGTATAGATTATGGGTATTAAAATAAAATGGATATATGTTTACTATCTAGACTGTAAAGAGAAAAAAATCCAAGTTGCTTAATACTATGATCAAATGATTCTTCACATTAATGGGGGGAAAAATCCCCCATATATTTTCAATGGATACATTGAAAAACTGTTACAAATAAATAACAAAAGGTATGGAAGGAGACACATCAAAAATGGTAGTGGTGGCTTAAAAAAATTTTTTTTAATTTACTTTTTGGTCTTTTATTTTTTATTTTTTTCCAGAAAGGATCTTCTTGTAGCCCCAACTGGCCTGGAACTCTGTATGTAGACCAGGCTAGCCTTTATCTCACTCCCAGAGATCTGCCTGCCTCTGTTTCCAAGTGCTGGGACTAAAGGCGTGTGCCACCATGCCCAGCTCCATTTTCTTTTCCATAGACAAAACAATTTTGCTACTTGGCTACACTTACAAAACAAAGTGTTTACGAAAGTGAAAGCAAGGTCATACTTTTTCACTACTTTGCTGACTTATTCTTTTTAGTGAATGGATGAACTGGGTGATGACCCCATGCAGAATCCTGAAACTTGGACATTATAGGTACATAAATATTGCCATCGTTCCTTTCAAAGTGTTTTACTTAGATATAGTCAAGTCAGGAAGAGTTGGGGGAGCAATGATGTCCTCTGTGCATGACACAGAGCTGCTTTGCGGCTGCTACAGAGCTGCAGGTAATTACCTTCGTTTAGGAAGCCATGCTCTTTCTGCTTCTTTACCTCAAAGGACATACCACAGAATGTCTCCCTTGACATTTCCTAAGGAGCAGGTACTTGTACTTTCTACCAGAAGGGTTGGTGAGGAAGGGGGATCCCATTCCCTCAAGGAGTGGGCAAATGTGTGGCACCACAGACCCTAACTGACGACATCCCCTTCCCTCCTAGGGAGGGTGACAGGAGTGAGGTTTCAAGAGCAGCATTTTTATGAACTAACTGAGGCTTGATAGATCAGAAAGCTTGAAATATTTTGTTAGTTTATATAAAAGGCTCTTCCTAATGGAGAAAGAAAAATACTGCAGGAAAAGATGTTCTTTGTTAGGGAACGAGATAAATCACAAGCTGTAGTTGTTGGCAAGCTAGTTGCATTAAAGCAGAAGATACGACTCTTTCTGAAATACATTTTCAAGAAATAAGGATGCTAAGATGACAACCTTTGACATAAAAGGGTGTGAGGAAAAGAGAGTGCATTAACTTACGTGTGACTCAGGGATGAGCAGTGTCTTAATGGAACAGTATTTCCTTTTTAGGATCTGGGCTGTGTTCAATAAGATCAATAGATTTCTCTGAAGCTTTAAAACTCACCTTTAGCTTTCTTTCAACACACTGGAATTGTGTGAATACTTCTAATTTTTTAGAATACTGTGCATTTCTTAATGCATAAATTTGGGGAATGATGACTGTATATTCTACAAAGAGCTGTATCTCCCGTTGCTATCCCAATGCTTGCTCTATTCAAATTATGGGATAAATGACGAATTGGATGAATGAGTAAGATGAACAGGTGGACAAGCCTGAGGTTTTAGAGCCAAATCCCTGTTCTACAGGTTTGTAACTGACAAGGGAAGGTGCTGACTCTCTGGGTTCTCTGTCTGTTCACTATAAACCCAGAGCCTCAAGTTTATAAAGATATAACCAATCTATATTATATTAAAAGTTTCTGTGAGAGTAGAGTCTTTAAAAAGATCTAAGCACTTGTTGGAACTTGAGGCCCTCACTCTCAGTAATGTGTGCCAGTATCTTCTCTGAGTCTTGGGTTTTGCTCTCTATTGGCTTTTTTGTCAGCCTTTTACTTATTTGCTGAGGCTTCAGAAGGCCAATGGCTGCACATGTAGCTCTGTTTCTTAATTTCGCTTAGTTGCTTTAGAACAATAAAAAGAAATGGTTAACTAGATGGTCAGTAAACCAGGCATCCAGGACTGCTAGATAAAGCAGGAGAAAGTAATGTGGCATTTAATTTGCTGCCCAGTTTTGTTTTTTTCAAACCCAGGGCCTTGTGCTTTCTAAGCAAATGCTTTACCTATGAGCAGGACTGTGTCAGGCCACCTCTCTCATATCCCATTTAGTGTTAAGTGAGGAATTCATCAAAACTTATAATCATAATACTTAATATCTCACAGGACAGCAATACAACATTCACAGGCTTTCCACTGACTTCACAGTTGGAAAGCACATATTAGTTTCCGTTGTCTTTTTATAAACAGTAAAAATGTTAACAAGGGACTAACAATAAAACAGAGAGAAATGGATAGGGAAGGTGTTAAATGGGTGTGAATGGCAGAAGTTAACTTACCTTGGCCAGATCTCACCACCAAATCCATAATGTTGATGTCCTTTGCCCATGACACAGGGAGGCTCGCATTTTGGCCTGTGTTCTTCAGGGAGGGCGGTTGGGATAATGCCACCATACTCCCTTTCAGCACCCCATGGAAGCCTGCACTGTGGGAGGGCCTCCCTCAGCTCCTGGTACCTGTAAGGAAGGACAGAGACTTTGATGCTGATCAGCTGCACCTACAACTCCTATTGCTGCCTAAGGCTGTTAACTTTTAAAAAAAGTTTTATTTATGTGTATTTGTGTGTATGCGCATGCATGCGTGTGTGTATCTTTGAAGCTAGAAGGGGGTGTTAGATCCTGTAGTGCTGGAGTTACAGGCAGTTGTGAGCCACCTGATGGGATGCTGGGAACTGAACTCAGGTTCTCTGGAAGAGCATTAGTCACTCTTAACCACTGAGCCACCTCTCTAGCCTCTTTCATAAGAATTTTAGATTCCATTTTCAGAACACATAATTCTCAATATCAGGTAGACTGTGATATATTCTAGTTATTTGGGCATCATGTGACTGTTGAAGTTATGAGGCTACCCTCCCAACAGTTGTATTAAAAAAAAAATGCTTTATTGTGATGCAATTCATACCATAGAGCTCATCAGTATTAGTTGACTCACAAATGTGTACAACAATCACTAGAATCAATTTTACAATTTTCATCTTCTCAAAAAGGAATCCTGTGTCCTCTGGCTATTGCTTTCTATGGTACCCACCCTTACTCCAGCCCTGGTCAACTCCTAATCTACCTTCTTTATACACTTGCCTATTTTGCACATTCCAAATAAAAAGAATCATATACTAGGATGATCTGTTCTGTTGGCTTCTATCACTTATCTTTATGGTCTTGAAGTTGATACGTGCTGTAGCACGAACCAGTACGTCATTCCTCCTCATGGCTGTGCATAATACTCCACCAATGGCTATTCCATGTGATTAGCCATGGCTAATCATCTCATGGCTATTTGGATCTTATGAGTAATGATGAATATTAATGTTTTTGCTGAGTACTTGTTTCCAATTTTCTAAGGAACAATACCAAAGAGTAACTGTTATGACAGGATCCTATGCTAATTCTGATTAATTTGTTGAGAAACTGGCAGACTATTTTCTATAACAGATGTTCTATTTTATAACCCAAACAGCATTGTATAAGGGTCCAATATATTTTTTAACTTAAAAAATTATTATTTTTATTTTATGTGTATGCATGTATTGCCTGCATGTAAGTGCACCCATGTCGTGGAATTCCCCTGAAGGTCAGAGGAGGCTGTCAGATCCCCTGGAACTGGAGTTACAGAGAGTTGTTAGCTGCTATGTGGGTGCTGGGATTTGAACCTGGGTCTTCTGCAAGAACAATCAGTGTTCTTAACCACTGAGCCATCTCTCCAGCCCCAAGGGTCCAATATTTTTTACATTCTTGACAACAGTTGCTATTTCTTTTTCTTTTTTTTTTTTTTTTTGACAGGGTCTCCCTAGTCCCAACTTGCCTAGAAGTAACTATGTGGACAAGGCTGACTTCAATCTCACAAAGATCCACCTGCCTCTGCCTCCCGAGGGCTGGGATTAAAGGCACACGCCACCACGCCTGGTGTGAACAGTTGCTATTTCTTTTTGAAAAGAAAAAGAATAGCCATTTTGATGGAGGTGAAGCAGTATGCCACTGTGTACATTTTCTTAATGACCAGGGTACTTTTTATGTTACTGTGTCTTCTTTGGAAATGTTTATTTGGATTTTTGTTTTTTTTTCTGATTAGGCTATTTTATTTTTTAGTTATGAGATCTTTATATATCCTAGACACAAGTCTCTTATTAGATAAACTATGCAAACATGATCTCCTATTTTGTTTTCTTTTCATCTACCTGGAAGTGTTTTTTGAAATATGAAAATTTTAAATTTTGATAAAGTTCAATTTCTTTTTCCTTTGTTGCCCGAGTTTGGGTGTCACATACCAATGCTTTGTTAAACCCAGGATCATGATTTGCTCCTGCTTTCCTCTAAGAGTTTTATAGTTTTAGCTCTTTCTCTTTTTGAGACAGGGTCTCCCTATCGCCCCAGCTGTTCTGGAACTCACTATGTAGACCAGGCTGGCCTCGAACTCACTATGTAGACCAGGCTGGCCTTGAACTCACAGAGATCTGCCTGCCTCTGCCTCCCAAGGGCTGGGATTAAAGGCATGCACCACCATGCCTGGCTGAGGAACTGTGCATCTGCTTTTGTGTTTGTACCAGCACTGCATATGGCTTAGTGGAACTCCCCCACAGTAACTATAAGTAGAATGGAGAAGTAACACTCAGGACTGTTTTACAAATGCAACTATCACATTAAGTCACCAGATAAGGATTAGCAGGCTATGGCCCACAAGGTCAAATCCAACCCGCCAACTGTTTGCAGATAATATTCAAATGGAATTCATAATTTGAATTTGTTTATGTATTACTAGTCTGTGGCTGCTTTTGAGTATTTATGATGAAACTGTAAAGCATAAAATATGTTTACTGGTTCTTTTTAATTTTTATTTTCTGTATATGAGTATTTTGCCTGCATGTAAGTACACCATGTGTGTGCAATACCTGCAGAGACCAGAAGAGGGTGTTGGATCCCATAGGAAACCAGGATGCTATGCCCTAAGGTGAGAAGAGCCTAAAAATTTTTAAGTCCAGGCTACACTCTGTGCTAAGGGGAGGGGTGCTGAAAACAGTACCTCTGATATCCCTGTCTTGCAGAACACTGCAAGACTAGCAGGAGAAAAGCAGCCAGGTCAAAAGTGCAGACTCCTTGTTCTCTGGGAAAGAGTCTTGGTCAACAGCTCGAATCCCTGTCCTGAACAAATAACTCAGCTATCATTAGCTAAGAGATTAGGCCAGGTTAAAGGTTTACTCCTGAGCTAAAAGCTAAAAGTTTACCATGCTTTTAGCCCTAAGAAAGAAAACATTGTGGCTAAGAAATTATTGGACAGGCATTGGTAACCTTGATTAAAAGTTTAAGCATCATGCTGGTGCCACATAAAGGCTCTCTGTCCTGTTTCTTTGTACCCTAAATCTTTGTATGTGACTACCAAACCCCATGTGACTGCCAATTCCTTGTAATGTATAAAAATCCTCTGAATTTTATAATAAACAGCTTGTTGTAAAGACAGAAGTCCCAGGGTCCAGGACTCTGTCACTGGTCGGTATTGCCATTCATCACGAAAGCAAGGTTCCCTGCTGAGCAAGGCATACTTGGGTCTCTCAATAGGATCCCGTGGAACTGGAGTTAGAGACAGTTATTAGGTGCCATGTGGGTGCTAAGAACTGAACCCAGGTCCTCTGCAAGAGCAACCAGTGCTCTTAACTACTGAGCCATCTCTCAAGTCTCCTTTTTCTGGTTTTTTTTTTTTTTTTTTTTTTTTAAATGGGAAGCTATTGTTTAATGGTTATAGAGTTTTTATAAGTGACAATAACTTTTGTTGTTTTGAGACAGGGTCTCACATAAATCAGGCTGGCCTTGACAAACTTTTTAGCCTAGGCGAGCACTGAACTCATGATCTCTCTGCCTCTGCCTTCCAAGTGCTAGATTATAGCCAAACTTGGTGGTAACATGAGTACATATAATGCTGATGGCTAAACATTGTGCTCATATTTACATGCCACTGAAATACACAATTACAAATGCTTATAATGATAAATACGCCTTTATCTCTCTTGCCACATTAAATCATGAATTATCAAGCCATAATTAGTAATTAAATGCTTACTATGAGTACAGCATTGAGCTGAAAGATAAATGTGTCCACAACATGTCTTCTAAAGGCCATGTCACTCCTGACACAAGCAGGAAAACACTCTGCACTTGCAATGCTAATGCAATTTCTAGACCCAACCAGACCCACAACACACAATTTCAGGGAACTTGGAGCACATTAAAAATAACATATATTTTCTTCTCTTTCTCTGTTTGATTTTTTGAGGCTGTGTCACTATGTAGCCCAAAGTGGCCTAGACTTGGATTCACCTGCCTCAGCCTCTCGAGTAACAGGATTTTAAGTATGACCATGCCCGTCCTTAAAGCTATCCAGCACAATTTTCAAGCACACAGTATGCCCCAAATTACTCCTTGTAAGAATATTCTCTTATAGAATTGGGTATACTGGAAGCAAGTTGTCTCTGATGGCCAGGAATCAAGACACAGTAACCGTAAAGTAAAAGAGCTTTATGTCTAGCATCTACAAAACCAAGACAACACTGTGCTTTCAAAGCAAAAGACGAACATTTTGGCAAATCTTTCAATCCATAAAGTCTTTCCCTGTGAAGTGATTTGTGCTGATTGCATAATTCTTCTCATCTGTAGTTTACATCAAGAGGGGCTGGTATAAAACATGCCTTATCTGAAGTATGCAGTGTGAAAAGTAGAACTCTACAACTCTGAAAGAAAGTGTTAAGTTCCAGGGGCTTTATTGTCTGAATAACTGTACACAAAAAACACAGGCTGAAGTCCCCAAGGGAATGATGGTCCTGTTTCACTGTTATCTGCCCTTTGGTCCTTCATCTTCTAAGCACCTACATGTTCTTGAAATGGTATTAGACATTTATTTTGAACACAAATGCGATCCAAGTGTGAATAAATAAATGCAGCGTCTTCCCCCCCTCCTCCACGTCCCTTTGAATTACAAAAAGTGCTAAATGTCTCTTTACGCCTCTTGTCACAGTTGTCCCACCTCCGGTTTTAAACAGACTGTAACATGATCGTCTGAAATCCTTCTTGACCTACAGCTCATCCAGTTAGAGAAACCCTACTGGTACTGTCGGTAATCCACGAAAGGTGAGGATGGTAACTGGCTTGAAGGCAACTGGGAGAGTGGTCTTCAGCAAACTGAGGGCCATTGGGAAACTGTGCAGAGGCAAATCTTGTCAACAAGCTACCGGCTCCTTCAATTAAAGCCAGGAGAATGCCACCCATTGCAGGTGACCCAACCATGGCCACAGGTCCATTTCTTGCTGCCAGGATGGCTCCTCAAGGCTCCACTGGTGATGGAGTTCCAGGGGTCTGCTTTTCCTCTCACTTGAACCATACTGCAGCCAATCATAGAAAACAGTCCTCTCCACAGTGCAAAGCTACCTCCCAACTGTGGAGCCCTGGTTTTAATGGCTGTCAAGCTTCCTTGC